TAATCGAAATCGTCGCAGCCGTTTATGATAAAATTGTAAAAATGTGTTTCACCGTTGATATAAATTGCCACTTCCGGTTAGCCGATTTACAGGAAAAAGTTGGTGTGACATCTCGCTGATATACCTATCTTAATATGAAATATCAGTTTCTTACGACTTTTCGTTTTTGAACTAGACTGTTAACATACAAACACACAGTCCATTTTGCGGGACTTGGTTATTTAGACTCAGGAGACCTCAAAACGTGTATTTCCGAAGAAAACTCAGATTCAAAAATATTCACGATCACAATACTTTCCCTTACTATATATTACATATATAGCTAAGTAAAGGTAAAAATAAATAAAAAGTTATTCCTAATATAGGCCTAAATATTTGTTTTTTCATAATTAATAATTTTCTAATACATACACACAACCTCGATTAATTCAAGTGATATAAACCTTCCAGAAATCAAAACAATGGACATCAACTTTGCAGCAAAATATTTAGAACAACTTATATTTGAACCAAATTATTCGATTTCAAACAGTCTTTGTTGTTTTGTTTTTTTGGAAAAATTCTTAAACTTTTAAATGACTATGGGTAAACAAGTATATAATTTTTGAGTTATTCAGAAATCGAATATTCTTTTTTTTTAAACCTTTTTTTCAGCTTATTTTATATTATGTTCTTTAAGTTAGATTCTTTTAATTATATGTATGTTATATACATAAATTTAAAGAGCTTTGAAAGCGATTTAACCAAATTTCATCGAAATCAGCACATTTCGGTTTTTCGACCGGCATCTTGATAGGAAAGTACTTTTCAGTGAAGTATGTAATACAAATATATTTAAAGAGGTGAGGAAAGGAATTTGGTCAAGTTTAATTTAATTTGGTACATTAGTTTAGGCGCACCAGTCTATAGTGACACAGGTTTTTCTGCCGCCATCTTGATGAGAAAGGGCGGATGAAGTGTATTCTCTTTTTGCCCAAATTTCTTCGTTAGAACCTTTTCAAACCAAGACCATGAATAGTCAAAGAAATCTATGTGGTGTGCAAAGAAATTAGCATTTTGCTGGATCCGATCTAGCGGTTAACGAAAAAAAAACTGAGGATGACGAAGATAGGCACGAATCGGGTAATAAATTTTACTAAGGATAGTAAAAGAATTGAATTTTCTGATTATTTAATTTCAAGAGGTAAATAACATACTTTTTAGTGCAATTATAAACAAGATAATCAATTTATATTGATATTAATATTTCAAAATTACTGATTCATCAAAAATGTTTATAATATCGATAACAAATATCGACTTTAGATAGTATCGATAATTCAAGGCCGAAATTTTGATGGTATCGATATATCTAATGACGAAAATAATGATAAGACAATTCAGGCTTTCGATATTCCATCTCTAGTTTCAATTTTAAATAAAAATCGTCAGCCGCACCCTAAAAGCCTTAACACATTTAAGAGGTTTACAATACTTTGTGCTGATTGCATAAATATCCTTATTATGTTAATTCTATACACCTCCACCCCCTCGTCTCCCGTCTTCACGCACATTAAACACTATTATCAAATTAATCTAACCTTCGCCTTTTTCCCCCTCCAAAATATTTTTTAAGTACCTATGACGTAACAGTGAGCGTGCACGATACACTCTTAACTATATCATTCGTTTATCTCTCCTCTCCTCCGTGATGAGGAATTTTGCCAATGATGCGGATTTCAAACCGTTTTTTGTTGTCAAGTGAAATTTCCATCAATGCTGTCCTGGGATTAAACAATGAAGGTATTAAATTTATTTTATTTTTCTTACCGTTAACTTTGATGGAAGAGATATTTATTATGTATCAGTTGTGTAACTGCGCCACATAGTGGCATGTTAAGCAATCTTGCGGAATATAGTCAAACTAGTAATTTATATGAAAAATTACGAAAGATTTACAAAACAACTGATTATTGTAAAGAAAAAAACATTATCGATAAATAAAATTATACACAAATTACATTTTTATTTTAATTTATCAAACTTAAAAAATGATTCAGCAGTTCGTTCGAAAAATCGTTACATACCTTTTAGCAAAATGATTAAACACATTTTATTCAATCAAGTCATTGAACTTAAATTGTTTTAAAACACTCACGGGATCTCAGTGAATATTTTAAAGCATCAAACTTAAAAATATTTCCAGCCGATCGCTCAAAAAATTGTTATATAGTTTTTGTAAGTTGAGTGGCTTACCCCCTTAAAAGATTACCCAAAACATATTATGGAAGAAATAGTAAGACTTGGAATAAAAGTAGATGAATATCTAGGTAAGGATAAATATAGGAGAACAGTGAAGAAGATAAAGGCCTTGGAATAGAAAATAAACGAAAGGGAGGCTTTTTACTTATACTTTATTGAAAATCAGTATTTTTATTCTTGCCTCAAAATATAAATTATCAGAACATCATGAAAGGAAGTTTTGCTGCACTCAGACCACTGTGAGTCGGTTTGTCCAAGTTGTTTTAATATTGTAATCGTACTGCAGCTATCTCCCAAATATAATATTTTTACTAAATGGGGCGGTATCTAGAGTAAAGATTTTTTTAAAAAGAAAAATGAGTAAATTGGCTGCTCCAGGAGCTACCTATTATTTACCTGACTTTCCACTAAAAGCTGCCTAACGACTTTTTGAGCGAACGGCTGGATAAATTTTTAAGTTTGATGGTTCAAAGTTGATATTAATTTTTCGCACCGCACAACACTTGAATATACATTTTTATATAAATTAAAATAATTTACACACAATTTTTGTCTAAGCTTCGAAATTTTTTCGACAACCACAAAAATTATTGTAACTTCATAAAAGAGTTAAAAAATATAAACGAAAATTATTTGGAATTTGAGGTCCTGTATGCTATACACAATAGTAAAAACTCGATCTCCGTAAACAAAATTATAACCAAATATAAAAATGTTTGATAACTTTTTAATTGTGGGTTGATGATTGTCTGTAGTGAATAATTGAAGAGAAGGATGGTTGGGGTAATCAGTCAAAATAAAAATGGCAAAAATAAATAATAATATTTATTTTTACATTTGTCGACGTTTCGGTCCGAAGTTCAGGCTTTCATCAGGGCTGATCAAACCAAAGGCTTGGAGAGATACTTTATTCTCTATACTACTTGGAGGGGTATCTCTCAAAGCCTTTGGTTTGATCAGCCCTGATGAAAGCCTGAACTTCGGACCGAAACGTCGACAAATGTAAAAATAAATATTATTATTTATTTTTGCCATTTTTTGATTGATCACCATCCTTCTCTTCAATTGATAAGTTTTTCTTAAATTCTAGCTAAAGCAATCTAAAAGATATTGACATGATTTGAAAGGACAATAATTCAGATTTTCAAGGAGTGTAATAACGTTGAGTTTGGAGAAAACCATGAGAAGTTATGAATGCTTTAGGTAACGGAAAGAAAATAAAATCCTCCAATGAAATCATGTACTAAAATTCACAATTTCTTATTTGTATTAAAACTCATATTTAATAATATATTATAGTATTAATAATATACATGCCCTATTTTACTGGAAGCTTTTCTTTTATTTATGAAACATTATTCTACTTTTAATGTGATAGGCATTATTGTTTTAATATGGAAATCTGTTGGTACATAAGTTATTTCTGGGTTACCAGAAATCCGGTCCGAGCAAAGGAAAAAATATTTTTTTTTTTTAAGTTATATAAAATAATTTTTTTGTCGGCTCCTAAGGCCAAATGGACACCTGTCTTATCATTTTTCGTTGTATTATTACCTATCACCTAAAAAGGTTTGTTTAAAATCAGTAACCCCCTGACTTGTGACCTCTCCTTGTTATTAAAAAAAAAATCATTTTAATTGACAAATGTTTTCCAATGAGTAGCGATTGGAATGCAAATTATTAACATAAAATCTGTAAAAATAAAAATTAATGTTGTCTAAAATAAGTATTACATATTATTAATTATTTAATGATTAATTATCAATACTTTTCTTTTCTTTTTTTTTTTTGCGATAAAGATCAGCAAAGTACCACGCGTATATCATTATTTCTGGGTTTTTCTTTTAGACCAACCTTTCTTTATTTTTTTCACTCATTTTCTTTTTACGTTTTTTTTTGGCCGTTTCTTTCCTCCCTTTCGTTTATTTTCTATTCCAAGGCCTTTATCTTCTTCACTGTCCCCCTAGATTTATCTCTAGGCATTCATCTACTTTTATTCCAAGTCTTACTATTTCTTCCATAATATGTTCTGGGTAATCTTTTAAGGGAGTAAGCCACTCAACTTACAAAAAACTATATAACAATTTTTTGAGCTATCGGCTAGAAACATTTTTAAGTTTGATGCCTTAAAATATTCACTGAGATCCCGTGAGTGTTTTAAAACAATTTAAGTTCAATGACTTGATTGAATAAAATGTGTTTAATCATTTTGCTAAAAGGTATGTAACGATTTTTCGAACGAACTGCTGAATCATTTTTTAAGTTTGATAAATTAAAATAAAAATGTAATTTGTGTATAATTTTATTTATCGATAATAGTTTCAATTAAACTAATTATGAAACTTGTAATATATCTTTAAAAATATTTTTGATGGATTTTTAGGGTTCTAAAAAATGGATATAATATGAATCCAAATGTCCTTAAATGCCTATATTTGGACAGATTAAAGGAAAATGGGACAGAATTTTTTTCCAGTGGCCATTACAGGCTTCACGGAAATGATGAAGCTGACAAACTGGTCAGAATAGGTTCTGGAATGATCCAACCAGATATTCCTCTGGGCATGGATTCAACAAACAGAATCATTTATTTTTTATAACTTATTTATTGAAAAACATTAAAATCTATCTCGAAGGACATTTATAATAGTGTTCAGATATCACATTCACACTCGATGTACACTGAATAAAATAAGTACAATAAATAAAATAAGTACATAAATAAAATAAGTAAGATAAAAAGTATTTCATTTGCTTACATTTGGCGCTCCATTTGCGAACTCGCCTTCATACCGAAGGTCTATTATTCCGTTTGGTCGTATGATTGATTTTACGCCGTAACCATTGGGGACGTCATTACGGAACTCACCCTCATAGATCTCTACTTTGTTCTTATCGATCAGTTTTCCCAAACCTTAAATAAATAATATATATATATATATATATATATATATATATATATATATATATATATATATATATATATATATATATATATATATATATATATAATATATTACTCATATAAACCCGGAACCATGGGCTGAAAAATCCATAATATTTTAAGCAAATTTTCAACCTTGCAGTACTCCTTTTGGGTATTACGAAAATGTCCGTCTACCAGCTCAGACAGGTCGATTTAACGTTTTAGGGGCATTTGAACTTATCAAAAAGTTCAATATAAAGGTTCATTTTAAGAAAACTTTCTCTTAGTCGTGTTACTTTTGAACAATACGCCATTACAAAGAGGACGAAATGCTGAACATTTTCCTCACTTAAATTTATCCACTCCAAATATCCTGCTGACCAGAAGGGAAGAAGTGGTACTGGCCCGGCTAAGGATCGGACACACTAGGCTTACTCACGAGTACTTAATGAGGAAAGACTCTCCCACTCAATGACTTTCCTACGGGGTACCTCTTACAGTGAACCATATCCTAACCGAATGTTATGCATTCCAATCTTCTAGGGATCAACATCTTCTCAGAAATAGCCTTGAAGAATCACTCCAAAAGGACCCCAATGCTATTAAAAACTTAATATTGTTCCTTAAGGAAATCAAAATATTTAACAAAATTTAATCACACCTTGTAATTGTAAATGTTAAGTTTTTTTAAGTTTGTAAGTTCCTCTTTAATTTGTAAATATACCTGTTAATTTTTTCTCTTTTAATCATAACTTTTAACTATAATGGTTTTTCAATTTTTCTTCTCGTAATTTTTAATATTTAAATTGTACTTCCTAACTTTTCTTCTTTTAATATTAATTCTGTTTTTTAAACTGTATTTTTAGATTATATTCCTGAAATCATTAACATTTTATTTAAATGTCCTTGTTAACTGTTAACTTATCATTCTCTAATCTTTAATGTTTAATTTTAATGGTTCTTGTACTTTCTAATGTTTAAACTGTATTCTTTAACTTCGCCTCTATTAGTATTAATTTTTATTATTTAAAAATGTATTTTTTAGCTTTTATTCTTAATATCATTAATCTTTATTGTCTCTGTTATCTCATCTTCTATTAAATCTTTAAGTTTCAATTTTTATAATTTTAGTTCAATTGTACTATCATAATCATCTGTAATTATTCTTAACTTTTCAAACTTTAAATTGTATTTCTTAGCTATAGTTGAGTTATGTGTGTAGTAATTCATCAAACTGTAATATAGGGCGAAAATGACCCAAGTGGTTGAAGAGCCCAAAACATGTATAAATAAATAAATAAATTTATCCAGGTCCGACATTTAATTTTATAAGTTTCTGAGATATTTAAATTCATATCTTCATTAAAACTCTTTATCATATTGGTTTTCGATACTATGTTTTCCCTTTTCGACTCTTTAACACGGCATCGATACGTTAAGATACAATTTTGTATAATACTCCATTACAAAGAGGATGAAATGCTGAGCATTTTCACAGTATGCAGGTCCGATTTTTAGTTTCTCGCCTATAGATTAAAATATTTCACACACTAAAAATTCGGAAAATGTTCAGCATTTCATCCTTTTTGTAATGTCGAATTATTCAAAATTATATCCTAACAGGACTAAAAGAAAATTTTCTTAAAATGCTCTCTAGTTTTGAACTTTTTGATCGGTCTGTCCCTATAACGTTAAATGGACCTGTCTGAACTGACATACGAGCATTTTCGTAATACCTAAAGTACTATTAATCTGTAAGAGTAAAAATTAGCTTAAAATACTAGGGATTTTTCGGCCCTGGCTCCAGGTCTATATATACAAATAGGAACAATCCATAGATAAGTTATCTATCTACCTTCGATAGCATATGTGAGTGATCCAAGATTTTTTGTTCGATATCATATATTAGCTCTAGTAACGATTAAGAATTCTAGAGTCATAAAGGTATAATTTTTATTTTCTGAGAAAGCAAAGAGAGTTGGATATTTAGGTGTTTTTCCATCTACTTCTTATATAGGGCAGTAGAGGATTATGGATTTAATTATGAAGTGGAAAGGATTCTCTAATTTCATTTGACGGCAATTACTCTGAAAGAAAATAATTAAAAAATCTACTTATATGAAATGATTTATTAAAATAAAGTAGCTGAATGCTCTACATATCATTGGTGACTGGATGAATTTTCCAGATGTGCTTTCAAGATAGCAAAGATAGGAAAACAAATTTATCGATAACATCTATATTTGATTTGGTTTTGAACATCGATATTTATAGATATTCTGCCATCACAATCCATAGGCACAGAGGATAGGATACACAAAAAACTGCCTTTAACCCTAAGACCGTCTTGAAAGTGGTTTGCTCTCTTCTCCCACCAGCTGAATACTCGCCGTGTCTGCCGCAGCTGCATTCAGTACGGGAGCGGGGTGGCCGAATGTACTAACGTGTAACCAGATAACCGAAGTTTATTAAGAAAAGTACGAGTTTGTGTCCTGGTGCCGGAAGGGGTTTCAAATCCCCTCCCCTCACCCTGGCCCTGGAAAACCCTGTATAGCCCAAAAGGTAAGGTAAGAAAGAATTAAAAAAAAAAAAAAAATAGCTACATTCGTACATGCATGTACCAAGACATCGTTATGTTTCGATTATTGGGAGAGAGAAAGGCACCAACTATACAGAAAACCTCCCTTGGCGGACAACTTTATACAATTTTATTTTCAATAACTTTATAGTATTAATGAAGAGGAAGAATAGTTGGGGTGGACAGTCAAAAAAGAAGGCAAAAATAAATGATACTATTTATTTTTACATATGCCGACGTTTCGACCTGAAGTTCAGGCCATCATCAGGGCTAAGGAAAGAACCCCTAAGAAGAAAAAGAAGAAAAGAAGGGCTAAGAAGAAAATGATGTTGTCATTATTCTAACAACTTCATTTTACTGTAATTTTTATATTTCTCATACCTTGTTATCTGGTTCTTTTCTTAGCCCTGATGATGGCCTGAACTTCAGGTCGAAACGTCGGCATATGTAAAAATAAATAGTATCATTTATTTTTACCTTTTTTTTTGACTGACCACCCCAACTATTCTTCTCTTCATTATCCACGACAATCAACCATTTACCAATTATTTATAGTATTAAAGTCTTCAGGTCATTTTTATTTCGCTACCGCAAATCACTTTTCAATAAAAACATATAATTCCTTTGTCACTGTTTACATGCTTGTTAATAACTATATTTCTAAAGTTATAACAACATTTTCAAATAAAGTCGTAAATAGGTGCGTGTTTTTTTCAGCAATAATTATATAACTGATAACATTGAATATATATATATATATATATATATATATATATATATATATATATAATAATATTAATGCTTACATTAGAAGAAACAAAAATTAAATAACAACAAAAATTCGATTTTACTCAGAAAGAAGGCCAGTAATTTCTTAATTTTTCCGCTATAATCCCAAAGAGGTCTTTCTTCACTTCTCTTAAAAAAGTCCCCGAATTGAAATATAGACATTTTACACTTGATTCCAAAAATTTCGTGGATAACACAATTTGAGGCGCTCATACTCAATGAATTGAACCGCTGTGATCCAGTCTCAGAAGGAGAAATCAACGCGAATGTGTAAGGCACAGAACCATGATAGATTCTTACCTAGGAAACTTTGTATGGAGTTTTCTTCATTCTGAAATGTACATATTGATTCATTTTTTTTTATTATCTGAACACGCCAGAAGGTACATAATAGCCTAATCTGTAACAGTTAAAAATAATTTAGGCCTAAATCATGTCTGCATGGAAAAGTAATTACCGGTAGCGAAGTAAAAAATTTATTCCAAATACCGTTCGCTCTCCATCATGAACACGGCTGGCATGTATGCAAGTATTTTTATTGAATACCTTCTCTATAAATAATAACAGAAATGGATGATGTCAAGATAGTGAAGCTCATTTTCTGATATCATCCATTCTATTTATAATAGCACAGTTTATGCTAAAAATTCGGATTGGTGGTTGGGATTATGGTGTTAATCTTTGTTGCAACAATAGCGCTTATTTTGCGTCGCGTACTTAGCAAAGGGAGAATGCCAAGATTTATTTCCTGGGGCCGCAGGGAAATAAATATTAACGGACCTTGGTGGGGATCGAACCCATAACGTTCAGAATCAAGCATCCACAGTCCGACGTGTACAACCAACGCATCCTCAAATGAAATTAATGTACAGTTTTATACACTTGCGGCTCAAAAGACTTAGATCACTCCAGTGTAAAGTCGACTTTAAATGTTTTATTTGTTGCACCATACACAGCTGGTTAATTCAAGAACAAATTTATTGTATTTCCTTACAATGGCGTATACAAGGTTAATAGAAGATAGTTATATAATAATTTCAATTATTGATATAATTACTATAATCGACAAATGTTATAAGTCTTTTGATTAAGGCCTACACGTGAAATATAAGTGTGTATTTTAGCTTACAAAATATCCATACCATCTCTCATATTGTTTTTCCACCATCCTCTATGCAGTCCTTTTTTCTTGGAAAGATAGAATCGTCTGAATCCAGATTTGTTGGTACTTGCCCCTATGGCTTCCGTTCGCTTCGGTGGTGGATCGTAACATTTAGGAAGAGTATTCTTAATGTAGTCTAACGCACGGCGACTGGAATGATAGCGTACGTTTTCGGGAGGCATAAGACCTCATTCACTTTCGCAAAATTATTACAATATACTAATTGTACTCAACAATAAGTGATGGGACTAATTGATCATATTTTAAATTTCATAATTTATAATTATGAAAAATAAAACAAACATATGTAGTTTATTAGTGATCCCAAATCGAACAAATTTGATTTGAAAATCCACTTAGGATTACAGGTTACAGAGCATGATGATATCGCATAGTTCAGATTGTTTTTGATTATCCGGAAATTTCTAGCTCAGAAAAAATGTCACCAGTAACTTAATTAAATTAATAACTTTCAAGTGCCAATTCTGATTTAGGACTTGTCTATGGGTGACTTGCATTGTCGAGATCGATAGGTTAAGCTATAATGTAATAGTTCTATAGGTTTCAGTCATTCTGTAAAAATATTTAAGAAAACGTACGAGGTTTGGTTATTAAAACCTCAAAAGCAATATGGTTCTCTATAGTATAATATAGTATTCTATTTCCTCTAGTATAGTATAATATTTCCCTTCAGTGCAAATATACTTCCAGTATTGTTGTAGATAATGGAGGAATCGTAAGGATCGTTGCAGTGATAAGCCATTTTATTTCAAAATGGTGGTGCAAAATACTGTTTCTTTATATCATGTAGAATTGTTACGGTTTTGATAAATTCTTCCACTGTTTTCGTTGATTCAATAGACCCCGGGGATGATCCATCTCAGAGCGATGAAGAGAATAACTTCGTGAGACGCACTACCACTAGGGGATCCATGATTTAATTTTGGAGGGGGCTTCAGCCCGAAACCTTTTTTTTTCATAAAAATAACGATAATTACTTTGGAAAAACAGAAAGAAACTAACTACCTATATGAAATGGTGTTTAAGTTATTCCTTAAGTACTTTTAAATGTAATTACACGAACAATAATACTTTAAGAGGTATTTTTTAATATTTTTTTCCATAAAACATGGTTATATTTTTACATTTTGGGAGGGGGGCTTCAGCCCGAAAGCCCCCCCCCCCGTAGATTCCCCCGTGCGCACTACGATATACCCTCCTGGTACATTCTTGTGCTCATCATGGGACATAAATAATCTAGCTGTGGATGGACAAGGAACTGGACTTGCTGCAGCACTTGACGCCATAGATGCGGCAATCTTGAAAAGCAGTATCCTCTACATGGAAGACCAGTTCCTGAAAACTTGAAAGATTGTCGAACTGAGAATGATCTACAAGAGACAGGGCAGAGATAAGAAGCTCCCTAAGTCATACTGACCTATATCCCTGTTACGAGTAAAGTCCTGGAGAATCTTATGTTAGTCAGTCTAAGACCACTTCTAACAAGAGCGAGCCATCCATAGCAGTACCACTGCTGAGAGTACGCACAGATGTTGAACAAAGACAGCAAAGATATGTCATGGTTCTGCTCTTTGACATATCCTCTGCCTTTGACAGCGTCTATCTAACGGCCGCTTAAACTCCAGCAGTTGCAAAGATACGATACTTCCAGCAACTTGTATTTCCTTGTAAGGAACTACCTACAAAAGAGGAGAGTAGAATTTCGAGGAAGCTCCTACAAGGTAGAAGCTTCCGTAGAGGTGGGCTTCCCTCAGAGATCAGTTCTTGGTCAACTAGAAACTGGTTATTGATGAGTTGCTGGATGTCTTGAAAGAAGAATGGTTCCCAGCTGCCTATGTGGACAATTTGGCTGCAGTTGTGGCCTCCAACAGTAGAGCTGGCCACAAGGTAGAGGCAGAACGGTGTGCCAACCTATGGAAAAGATGGTATAAGAGTATAAAGGTGAAGATGGACTCTGCTAAAATGCAGGCCACACTCCTTAGAGGGAAAACTGACGGGGCTTCTATCACCTTTGGAGCAAATTCGTTCAAGTGATCACCTTGGAGTGAGATTTGGAAGAAACGTTAACAAAATGCCTCCCTTGGACTACTTTTGAAAATTTTTTTTTTTTTTTTGTACAAAACAATAAAAAAGGATATCATTGAAAATGTACTGTTTATTTCCAGAGATATGGCGTTTTAAATTTTGTGACTCTTATAAAATATATAATTTTGATTTGACAATTATTCTATCTACATAACTTAATAAAAATTATTATATTAAGTATTTTTAGTTAGAAGTATTTTTCAAATGACCTAATTTTAGCGAAAAAATGATTCTCGATGTGGTAGGGAAAGTCGTTCGTGGGCATACGCTATATATATTGAATTTATAACTTTTTGAAAATAATAAACCATTGGCTAATAATTTACAAAGCTCTAGTTCCTCTATTAAAAAAAAAATGAAAGAAATGCATAGAAGAACTTTACCATTAACATTAACAGTAACATTAACAACATTACCTGCTGAAGTTTATAAAAATAAAATGACTGTTCTAACATGATTGGTAAGAGAGAGAATGAAAACTAAGAAGATTAAAGGAACAAGAAGTGATAAGTAATAACAAAAAACATTCATTTCTAAGTTTCTAGTTCTTGAGATCTTAGGTCCTTCGCACTCCCCCATTCAGGTTCAAGGACAGCAATAAATCAATCGAGATCCATGGATTATGAGTATTCACAATCAGCAGGTGAAGAAGGACTTACATTTCTTTTTCCGGAATAAACCGTACCCACTGGGTAGGGCCATCATCACTATGCCTGGTTAGTGAACGCTTCCTCCAGTAGGCTGAAGGCCTGACATATCTGGTGAAGTCTGCCTCCGGATTTATATTTTTAAAAGTCATATCTTGCATGGATTTAAAATTTTGTCAGTGATTTTTTATTATCTTACTGAAATTAATTCTTTCATAAATAAATAATTCACATTGTGTTGGATATCTACAGTACTCTAAGTGCTATTTAAACTGTTAGATTAAAAAATCAAATATTTAAATATAGAGATGACTTTTGCAGCTTGCTATTGTTTTTATATAATTACAAAATTAATCTTGGCTAAATGATTTATTCATACAGTAAAATGTATATATAATTATAATTTAACATATATAATATTGAGGATATACAAAAAATAAAACAACCTAATGTCAGATAATGAGATGCCCTTGAGTATCTGAGAAGATAATATTTCAGACGGGAACCTCTTAACAGCTACTTGTGTATTAAAAATGTTGTTGAGTGCTCCAGCACTTAAAGAAACTAAGTGTTAAAAAAATTATGAATGTTTTTTTTAAATGAAAAAACTTTTACATATAATTGATTTAGATAAATATATTATATTCTCGATGACAACACCATAAAGTTTTGAACTGTTGGAGATAAACATGTAACACAATATACATAACTTAATCGTAGAAAAAAGATATCCTGAGTTAGCTAGTCAAATACAGTAAAAAATTTGAGGTAAAACATTTTTTTTTCCATATTAGCGATAGCTGAGGACGCATATCTTGAAAACTAAGCGAGATAGCGAAAAAAGGTATTATTATCTACCTTTTTCGCTATCTAGCTTAGTTTCCTATTGCAAATTTCATCAGGTTTAATTTTGTATAGATTATCTTATAAGCGAAAACTCGAAAAACGAGCAATAAGCAAGATGCAAATTTTTTTTAAGTTAACCATTGTTGACAGATATCTTGGAAACTAAGCAGGTAGCAAAAAAAAGATATATGAATAAGCAATCATATTGTAAATTTTATCAGCTTTAATTTTGTTGATAAACGTGTAGAACGTGTTTGTTGATGCGATGGATAGTTTTCCTGATATAAGGTATATCTGAAAAAAGTGAGCTTCTAAGTGCCTGGGGAAATTTATTGTTCTATTTCAAGAGTCTAATAGAAAGAATTAGATAAATTCAAAAAAGTAAGATATGGTTTCATTTTCATTTATTATTCAAATATAACGCATTACCTAACGCATGGTTCAATTTTTGTGGTAGAAGGCAATTTTAAAGATGTGTTGGAATCAGTATTAATTTCAACTGATAAGAAATTTCCTGCTAGATTTTGTTTCATATCATAAGGCTGTAACTCAGCTGAAGAAGTTTCGAAATCCTCTAGGTTCACGTCTTTTATTCCCAAGTCATCTTTAATGTACTTACCTACCCGAGCGAATGCTTCTTGTTCCCAAAAGTAGTAAGAGGTAATCCAGTCCTTCAGCATTAACTGAAATCAAATGATTTAGGAAATACATTATATTTAATTTGAAAGAAAGTCATCTTAAATGTCAAAAAAAATAATAAATATAAAAATTTTGACAAGTACGATTAATGATCGATCATTTTTCATAATATTACAAAAAATGGAACTTACATGAATGAATGAATGAAAACATATTTATTATACTTTTAAAAAAATACAAAGTAAAATATATATATACAAGCAACAAAACATAGACAATATGTACAGCAATATAATATATAGCAACAAAAAAAAAAAATATGTATATATATATATATATATATATATATATATATATATATATATATATATATATATATATGTATATATTATATACACTGACAGGCAAAAAATTCCACCCACTTGATTTTTTCATGTTTTCATCTAAAAATATTTCTGGTTTGGATTGGTCTATTGTTTTTAATGAATAAATATATAATCTTTTTGTTTGTTTTCAATTAGGAATGTTAATATAGAGGACAATAACCCTTAATCCTTAATTCAATGAAATGATTCTAGATTCCAATGTTTACTTCCTATGGAATCAAAATGTTTATTCAGTATCATTAGTTCAGTGCCGTTTCTTGCAACATATTTCTTAGTCTCCGGCTTTTAATTTTTTCAATATTAAGTTTAAAAATGCCTCTTAGTGCTGAGGATGTTGCGCGTGGTGTGGCACTTATTGATGATGGACGTTCCATTAGATATGCAGCTAATGCTATCGGAGTTCCTTATGAAACTTTACAAGACGCCGTCAGGCGTTTACAGCAAACTGGTTCTTACAATAGAAGGGCTGGTTCTGGACGGCCTAGGGTAACAGAACCACGGGATGACTGGTTTTTGACTTTGAGAATTTTACGAAACCGGCACCTTACCGTTGTTCAAGCGATTCATCGGCTCGAAGAAGTTCGAGGTGTGCAAATTTCTGAACGTACCGCTTGGAGAAGATTAAATGAGTATGGATTTATGGCTTTTGGTCTAGTAAGAGGACTAGAGTTGACCAGAACTCTGAGAGTAACACGGCTGGCTTTTGTTCGAGAACACAACTATTGGACTATGGACGAATGGAGTGCTATACGTTTTACAGATGAGTCAAGATTCGCTCTTCGTTTTCCAGACGGGCGTGAGAGGGTGTGGAGAAGAAGAAACGAAAGATATACAGCCTGTAATTTTTCCTAGAGCCAACCTTTCCAACGTGGTTCCTTAATGGGTAACAAGTGGAATTTTTCGCCTGTCAGTGTATATATAAAAATACAAATTTTGACAGTAATCGTCATAGATCAATTTCGAATGGATGAACCTTATACTATCCTTGACCTACTAATAGCTTTACCATTGGTATTGAGTATTTGACTGGATTCATAGCTGCCTGCCTGTATTTTATGTTCCTCATAGTGCCTCTTACGCAGACATCTGCAACCCAAACACCTTCCAGTGCTTGTCCTCTGTCAAAGAAACAGTATTTTCCATATCCGTGCTTTTTATCATCATACCAGTTTCCTTCATAACGATCCTTGTTTCCTTAAAAAAAAATTGTCATTAGTGCGATAAGATGATCAGGCATAGATTTTTTTCACTATCAACCAATCAGGAAGACATTGAGAGACTGAAGATAAAACTAAATATATGAAAGTAAGCCAAAAATTCCACTCAAACAATAGGTTATGGATGGAAGGGAAATCATTCCTAGAAGTAGACAAATTCAAATACATCGGATTCACAATAACCTCATGAATGATCAGTGGTTAGAAATAAATAAATCATCGTATAAGAAATGAAAACAGATCTTACTTAGATACAAATATTTTTTTTCTGTTGGTATTATAGATCTTGTAGATCATTTACCGCCTTAACAAGCCTGCTTCATCTCTACCTATCTTGGGCTATTTTCTTCCAGTTATCAGCATACAGCAATATTGCATCGTTGTTGATTCTATCTATCCATCTGCTTTTTGGCTTTCCACATGGTCTTTTGCCTTATTGAGGCATTCATTTTTATGTAAAGGCTACCAGATTCTACATGCCCCTCCCATCTTAACCTCCATGTTCAGATCTTAACTTCCAGATCGCTCTGGTTTTGTGCAGGGGATTTTTTTCTCAAATCTATCAATACTTCAACCAACCAAATCAAGTTAGTGTCCAGGCCTCACAGCCATATATTAGAACTGGCTTTATCATAGCATTGTACATCCTTAATTTGAAATTTCTTGTGATTTTAACACATTTAAAAGGGAGAAGAAAGCTCTGTTTGGGATAGTTATATACTGGTCTATTTCTGACCATTGATCATTCATTTAGCTTATTGTGGAGCTGAGGTATTTGAATTTTTCTAGTATCAGGAACGATTTCCCTTCTACACAGAACCTGTTATTGTGGTAAAATTTTCAGCTTATTATCATATATTTTGTTTATTAGGTAATTTTAAACTGTTTTATAAGTTTATTATAGATCAGAATTTTTTTACCATTGGCAATCTATAATATTTTTACAAATTTATTTGCAGAATAGCTTTCAGTGGCCATGCACCATATTCACATCGATAATTATAACACATCAAATAGGATACATTAATAAAGTAATAAATTAATAATTAATGACATTAACAATTCATGTATTACATAATTTTTAATTGTCATGCAATTATTATCACATTATACCATACCATTTTTGTCTCTTGATAAAGAAGAAGCTGACAGTAAATGCTCAGCACTCAGAAATATGGTGTGTAACAAAGAGGAGTCCTATTCTCAGATATGTCAGTGTATACAATTTTATTCAATTTTAACAGATATTGAGAGGCTGAAGATATAACGAAATATATGAAACTAAGCCAAAAATTCTACTCAAACAATACGTTAAGAGTAGAAGGGAAATCTTTCCTAAAAGTAGACAAATTCAAATACACCGGTTCCACAATAGCCTCATGAATGATCAATGGTCAGAATGAAACAGAAATGAAAACAGATCATTTTTAGATATAGATTTTTTTTTTTTTTTTTTGGCATTACAGATCTTGCAGAACTTTTGCCGCCTTTACAAGCCTGCTTCATCTCTGCCTATCTTGGGCTATTTTCTTCCAGTTATCAGCATACAGCACTATTGCATTGTTGTTGATTCTATCTATCTATCTGCTTTTTGCCACTCCACATGGTCTTTTGCCTTATTGAGGAATTCATTATTATTTAAAAGCTTCCAGAGGGATTCAACATGTCTCTCCCATCATAAACTCCATGCTTTCATATCATAGGATATTAATTGACCAGTTTCTGTAAGCACTTTTTTATATGTCTTTCTTCTCCATATGTTAGTTCTCTGATCCCAGATTGCTCCGGGATATACAAACAAATTAAATTTCAAAGGGATTCTTAATTAGTGTTTTTGAATGGTTTTCATATTGACTTGGTTCTATGGAATCTTGCTTATTTATACGTGAAATCACTTAACTTTTGTTTCTTTGAAGTATTTCCCTCACTGACTTGGGCTTAAGCTGACTATGAACTCACATAGGTCTCAAAACCAAATGTGCTCATGACCATATTCCCAATAACTCCAACAATTAGCTGCTAGCCATCACTAAATCCATCAAGCACACCTTCTGCTCAACAGCATATGTATAAAATAAAATAACTTGTTACATTTATTATTATTATTTTTATTTTGTGAACCTAAGGTTTAAGGATTTACTTGGTGTACTCCTCAGTTTAGATTTTAATGAATTTAAACAATTTTATTTTCAATCAATGGGATTTCTTCATTATCTGTTTTATTTTCAGAATAAAACTATTCTAGTCAGTTGCGGATAAATGGTTTAATTTTGGAGAGATTCTTATTTATTTTTTTATAATGGTAAATACTGAAGTACTTATAAGAAGTGATGTTTAAGTGGTCCTTGAAAAGCATGTTAAATAAAAAAAAAAATAATAAAATCCATAATTAGAGGAACAATATTGCTTTTAGATATAATTTTTTTAGACACATATTTACATTTAATAGCTCTTTATGCATAATAATTTAAAAAGATAATGTATTGTGATAAATAGTCATAAATTATATTAAGTTTGCATTTATAATTAAAATTATATTTTTACTAGCTTTTTATAAATTGATTTCCATTAAAAATAGGCCGGTAAGTGAAATTATTATGATGCATAATTGTTGAAAATTTACAATTATACAAAAAGCAATATAAATTTCTCAAAAAAATAAAATATTTTCATAAATGTTTTCAAAAAATGTATATATTGCTAAGTTAATATTGATCTATTATTTAACTATTCTTTATTGAATGCATCACTACAATATCAAATGAGTAGTTACCATTTCGGGGTTATAATTCAAAAAGAGAACTTTTTTTTTTCTTCTACTCAAAGATGAGTAGTTGAGATTTTCCCTTTATGGGATGGAGTTCCTTGTACTGCATAGAATGAACACACAAATGAATTTAAGGGAGTTATAAAGAGTTCAAAGGTTTTAAAAATTGATAAGTGCTGAATCTTTAGTTTATTGATGGGGCTCACTTTTTGCCAAATTTTCTAAGTTATCGCTTCCTATTTAACAAAAAACGAAACTCGCTAAAATTAATACAAATCTTAAATTTCCTACTTTTCTGCTGGAAATCGGGCAATTGTTTATATGAACTTTTTTGTAGATCTTGTTGTCTACTATTAATCTCTTAAATATTTCCCTCTACTTATGGGACATCCTGTAGATACCAAAAATATTTATTTTGCAAACATAAGAACCTATAAAAATCTGGTGCGCACAATAAATAACTTTCACATAACGCTCTAATTTGAATAGAAATTATTTTCTGGTAATGTTGGGCTATTTTTGAAGTGCCTTTTACACGGAGCTAAAGCTTGTAGCTAACAAATAATTAGGACCATTGAAATAATAATAATCTATTTATTATACATATTATCGGTAAGTAATATAAATCTCATTACTCCATCTGTTTTTGTAAACCAAATAACTTCCAGTATCTGAGCATATATGCCTTAGAGTTGACAGAATTACTAACTCCAATTTCATCATTTTTGAGTAATGTCATTTTAGTGATATTTCTAGTTGAAAAAGTTATATCTATAGAGACAGAGTAGATGATTGCAGTGTTAAATATTAAACTAGTATTTTCAATTGTATAGTTTACTAAAATTAAATTACATGATTTTCATTGCCTACTATTGATCAAAAGCTGTCACACTAATTGTAAGCGGATAATGTTGAGGTTACACAAAGGGAAAATTTATCAAATTATTCACTAATTTAATTTTCTAAAAGGTTACCTAATGATTTTTGGGAATAAAAAGAACGATAGATACCTTATTATTTAAATATAATATTAGATCTAGAGTTATCAAAATCATCATCATCATGTGTGGCACAACATCCCGTTACCGAGATTGGGCCTCCTCCAAGAGCCTCCGCCAGTTGGCTCTGTCTTCTGCTGCAGCTCTCCAGTTCCGTACACCAAGCAGGGTTCTCGCATCATAGGCCACGTTGTCCAACCATCTCGTCCTCGGCCTTCCTACCCGTCTTACGAGGTGCAGCTCCTCCATCATTATTTTTTTTGGTATTTCAAGGGTGCTCATTCTGGCCACATGCCCTGCCCACCTTAGTCTGGCCAGTTTAATATACATGACTACGTCGATGTCTGCATAGAGAGAACTGAACTCCCTATTTTTTCTTTTCCTCCAGACATCACCCTCCTTTACTGGACCATAAATCCTTCTGAGGACTCCTCGCTCAAAGACACTCAGCTTCATCTCATCCCTTTTAGTCATCGTCCAAGCCTCTGAGCCATATGTCAAAACAGGCCGAACAAGGGTCTTGTATATGATCAGCTTGGTCTTCTTTGAGAGGTACCTACTTCTTAAGTGTCGGCCAAGTCCAAAGACACATCTATTGGCAGCCGTGATCCTTCTTTGTATTTCTTGAGCCATGTCATTTTTGCTATTAATTTCAGACCCAAGGTATATAAAACTTTTCACTCTCTCAAACTTAAAAGAACCTACCTCAAATGGAGAGTTCAGATCCACCTCACCGCCAACTCTCATATACTTAGTTTTCCTCTCGTTGACTTCTAGACCAAGTGGTCTTGCAGCTGCTTCAAGGCTTATAAACGCTTCTCTGAGAGCCCGTTCAGACCTACCTATTATGTCAATATCATCAGCAAAACCAAGAAGCTGTGTCAGGCGATTGAAGATTATATCTTTGGTCTGAATACCGGAGTCTCTTACAGCTTTCTCCTCTGCCAAGTTGAACAATAGACAGGCGAGGGCATCCCCTTGCCTAACCCCACTGCTCACTTTAAACTCTTCGGAGTCGTCAGAACCGACGCGTATTCTGCATCTCGAGCTGTCCATGGTCATCTTGATTAGGCGTACGAGCTTCTGAGGGATGCTTAGCTCCTCCAAGGCACAGTATAGTTGCGTTCTATCAACGCTGTCGTATGCTGCTTTAAAGTCCAGGAATAAATGGTGGGTGACTACCTTACGCTCCATAGTCTTTTCTAGGATCATCCTCAGAGAGAACAGTTGATCAGTGGTTGAGCGTCCTCTTCGAAATCCAGCCTGATATTTCCCCAGTTCCTTTTCAGAATACGGGAGGATCCTCTCAAAAAGAATGTTAGAGAGCAGCTTATAAGCACACGAAAGGAGTGAGATTCCTCGATAGTTAGCGCATTCTGTTTGATCTCCTTTCTTATGTATTGGGCAGATAATGGCTGTTGCCCATTCCGTAGGCATAGCTTCCTTCTCCCAGATGGTCAGCATTAAATCATGCAGAGCTTTCTTGAGTTCTTCACCTCCACATTTCAACAGCTCTGACTGGATTCCGTCCGGGCCTGGCGCCTTTCCATTTTTCAATTTCCTCAGGGCGTTTTCCATTTCCTCCTCATCCGGGGGTTCAATAGAATTCAGGGAGTCTTCCTTCATTACACCTACTTCTCCAGGCACCGTTCCTCTGTTTAATGCGCCTTTGAAATGTTGTACCCATCTCCTTAGTACGTCATCTTTGTGGCTTAAAAGAGTTCCATTTGTGTCTTTGCATGCCGTCACTCTGGGCCTAAAAGCTGCCCTACCCTCGTTTATTCTCTGAAAGAACAGGCGACTTTCATTTTGGCCTCGCAATGCCTCTGTGTCCTCCATGTTCTTATTTTCCCAAGCTCTTCTCTTTCCGCGGAATAATCTCTTCTCTTCGCGTCTTTTTCTTCTATATGTTTCTTGGGAGAGCCTTGTGGGACGCTGAACCTTCTTTCTGTAGGCTTCATTTTTCACTTTTACTGCTTGAAGGCACTCAGCATCAAACCATGGGGGCCTTCTAGATTTAGTCTCGTAGCCAAGAGCTTCTTCTGCTGCCTGTTTCATTGCGTTGCTGCATCTCTTCCACTGTTCATCGACCATAGAGCTGTCATTAATTACTTCTTCATTAAGTTTCGTCTCCACAGCTTGTTGATACGAATATTGGTGGTCTGAGTCCTTAAGTTTAACCACATCAATCTTCTTCTTTGGTCGTTGGTAGTGGTTTTTAATCAGCGAAATTCGTGATCTGACCTCGGCAATGCTCAAATAGTGATCCGTGTCCATATTTGCACCTCTATAAGATCTTGCATTTATCATGTTGGACTTGTGACGGGCACTAATGAGTACATGGTCTATCTGTGATGCTGTTTGCCCATTTGGAGAGATCCATGTTGCTTTGTGGATATTCTTTCGAGGAAAAAGAGTTGTTCCAACAACCAGTCCGTGCAATGTAGCAAAGTTCACCATCCGTAGCCCATTATCATTACTGGTCTCATGCAAGCTGTGGGTTCCTATGGTCGGCATGAGTGCCACCTCCTTACCAACTTGTGCGTTAAAGTCACCAAGAATGATTTTAACATCATTTTTGGGGCAGCTTTCTGTCACGCGTCCAAGTTCTTCATAAAATGCTTCCTTATCCTCCTCAGGTGACACCTCTGTTGGGGCATGGCAGTTGATTAGAGAGAAATTAAAAAATTTTCCTCTAAGCCGAATGTAGCATAACCTTTGGTTAATGGGAGTAAATCGCATCACTAACTGTCGAGCTCTGCCTCTCACAACAAATCCGGTACCGAAGATGTGATGCTTTTCATGGCAGCTATAGTAGAGTGTATGGTACTTCTTCTCCATAATTCCCTGTCCTATCCATCGGACCTCTTGGATAGCTGCTATGTCGATTCTGTATGTGTCCACTTCTGCAAGGAGCGCACGAAGTGCTCCTAGTCTATGTAATGATAAAATGTTCCAAAATCCAATTCTTAGGTCATTTAGGCGTTTCCTGGGTCTGTTACCGTAATTCAGTCCGGCTTCTTCTCTTTGAGGTTTCGTAATAAGGTACTTTAGGGGGGGTGGGTTATCAGCCCACTGCCCCCGAGTCAGGTAGAGGGGCTGCCTCCTCCGAGCATCCTGACTAGCTCCCCCATCCGGGGCGGCTACCTAGGGAAGGTGACCCTAGGGTGTGTACTGTAGGTGACCTTTGTCTGTAGTGTTTAGGTGTTGTAGTGTGCTGTCTAAAGTGTACTTGGTGTGTGAGTGTTCGTGTAAGTGTTCCCCCAACCTGGAGGGCCAGTGGCTGGTTGCGGTACAATGACCGGGCGATGGGACCGCCACCTCCCTACGCCCAGTTATCAAAATACAGTATTTAATTTATGTAATATGTAATATGTAATGTATTTAAGGTTATAAACATGTGCATGAAATATTTTTATATTTCACTTCTTCTTTCACACAAGTACAGTGAAATAGTATTTTGAACAATGTCCATTGCCTTGATTCAGTAAATTTTAAAACTTTTTGTGAAACTTAAACACTTTTTTTTTAAGTTTATATTTAGTAAGAAAATTTCATTTAATTTCCTTCAAAACATGTGATTTATGTTAGTTTTCAGAAATTATTATTTATCTTTTTTTTCGTCAATATCCGTTACCTTCTACAACTTTATTTATTAGATATTATTTTTTCTAAAATCCTCCACTTTCCAATGACATATTATACATATATCTTCTCACTATAATTTCTGGTGACTCATTTTCGACCTGGATAAGCATTTTTCTTTTTTCGTCCATTACTCAATTATCAAATTCTTTCAAAAGTTATATTTAGCATTTTTTCGTAACTCCTAACAATGAGATACAGTTAATATTTTTAAATAAACCAAATTAAATATTTTAGAGAAAGCTAAATTGAATCTTGGACATTTAAGCACTGTAAGGTGACATCAATGTGGATAAGGTGATAATAAAGACCACTTAATAATACACTGATCAAACATTTTATTTATTAAAAAAATTATCGAAAAATAATGTTTTTTTCTTGGTAAATTGGTTATAACTGTGTTTTTCACCCAGATATTTATTTTAGAAATTGATCCAAATTTATAAGAGACAAAATAAAGGTTCCTGATCCTACTATTAAGGTTTTAGTTACAATAATTGAAGCAATCAGCAGTTTTTATTTTTATTTTAAAGATACATTTTAGGACTAGAAACTTTTATTTTGCCACGCACAAATGCAGGTCAATTCCTATAATAGAGGTATGGGTGAAAACACAGCTTATAACCAATTTATACGAAAAATATTTGAAATATCTGATTTTTATAATTAATGTTTTATAAATAAAAAGTGTGTTTATTAAAATACATCCCAGATCATGGAAAAACAAGAAATAAAAGCTTTGCAACAATTAATTGCAGTCATTTTTGCTGAAAATAAGGGGTACTTTTACTTGACAGGATAATCTGAATCTCAAATTTTTCCCTAATAAACCTCAACTTAATTAATACAAACTTAAACCTTATTAAACGAAGAAGTTTTTGCAAAAGTTGGGAAACTGTAGTATAGTTGGATGATTCTAAAAAAAAATGGCGAATATTTATGATTTTTCTAAAAACAGAACTTAGGTTTAACCATTCAAAATTCCTATGTAAATGGTTTTAAAAATGATAAACTCTACATTCATTTAAAGCAAATTTCATCTTGTTTAGAATGAAGCAATTATTAATTACTTAAATTTAATATTTCTTAAGTTTTTGCTTTCGATTCAATAAAAAACATGGCTCACTTAAAAAAAAACACAAAACTTGGATTTGCTACTTTTCTGTTGAAAATTGGTCCATTTTTTAAATTAGTTTTTTGTAGCTCTTAAGGTCAGCTATCACTCGTATAAAAATTTCTCTTTATTTACTGGACACTCTGTTTATTTCATGTATAGGTAAGTGAAAGTAAAAATATATAATTTTAATTTTACTCTTCAAATCTTAAGTAGTTATTTATTTTTTAAACCTGGTTTCAACCAATTTCATTCACTTTTCCTAGGCAATGCCTTTAGGCTCTTTAACTACCAGTTGAGGTAACACCAGTAAACTGGTTCTCTGCAGCCATCTCTTGTCTTTTTTAATTACTCTGTTACATTATTGTACATATGTATATACTTTCCTACCATTAAAAAACAATGAGAATATGCGGTATCACGGTATTCTAGCTTGATACGAAATATTTAATAAATTATGGGTACTCACTTTACTCAGTGTTGGGACCTTCAGACCTGAATTGGTCCATGGCTGATTTAACACAGCAAATAATTACATATCACAGCAATACTCGAACCTGGGCTCTAAGGAATAGGGCCCAAGGTCTTACTCAATCATAAATCAGAGAATCATAAATATCAATTAAAAATATTAGAATTATTTTTCCTGTTAACTTACCATTAATAAGCATTCCTTGTCCCATTCTTTTGCCGTTATACCAATTACCAAAGTAGATTGTTCCATTGTTGAACCAAGCTATACCGACACCGGATGCTTTACCATTATAAAGTTTTCCACTGTAAAAATAGTTGTCAGTGTGCAGCTCACCTTTGCCCTGATAAATATTACTGTTTATAATACAAAGAAACAATACTTTGATTCTGCTTAAATATTAAGAGTTGTTTATTTTAATTTACCTTTTCTTTTAAGTTCAATAACAGTATGGAAAAAAACAAAAATTTAATGATACATAATTTCTTGGGAAGAAAGGGAGTAAATAAAAAATCATTCTTCTCTGTATTCTAATGTACGCCTTTATTGAAAGTGGGTAAAAAGGGTTTAATAAATTTATGTAACAGTTAAATAGCAAGCTAATCTAGTTTCACTAGTTCAGGGAAAAAGAATGGCTGCTCTGTAGTTTACCCAAAAAGGAAAATCCCAAAGAGGGGATGGAACAAAAGATTTGTTTTGGCAAGCAGTTGTTGTGTGGTTGCAGTGAAGAGAGGATAGGAGAAGGGATCCTGACTCCAGTTGGTAAAACCCAGTAATAGTTTTACCATCTTGTAAGTTTTTATTTGGCAGAGAGTAGTTGTTTGGAATTACAAGAGAGAGAATCTCCCAGGAAGCTTGAGTTGAATAGAAGAAAGTTTTACCATTTTGGAAGTTGTTTTTGGCAGAAGATTGGAAAGCATTTGAAGACAAATTAATTTAGAGCAACAAAGGAAGAAACAGTATCTATAGAAAAAAGGTTAGCTTACCAATTCATACTTGACTTTAATTTAAAATCAGTGTTTAATTTGAGTATAAATAGTGTAAATTAATTAATATTAGTTTGTCTGAGTGTTTTGATCTGATTGTCAGTAACCCTTACCTTGAGATAAAATAATTATAAATTTCAATTTAATATATTAATGCTCTTATAATTTTGATTATTATTTAATAACCTCTTATTTCTTTTGGAAATATCCCAATGGTATAAAGTGATCTTCCACGAGGTATTATTACTATTTACAAATATAAGAGATATTTTGCCAAATAATCAAGTGAATGTTAGTCCTAAATCACTTGCAAACTATTGATTAATTATTGGAACGTTGTTTTGCCACTTTTTTGAAGCAATAATGTATTCTATTATTAATCCTGTATAAATATCTCATTAATAAACTGTTTAAAGAATCGGAGAAGGGAAGAAAATGTATTAAAATAAATGGCAGATATCTAAAAAAATTCGTTTTCAGATGACATATATCTAATAGTTGCTAGTAAAATTAAAATACTTATAATCCTCAATGAATCGAATAATGAAAGTAACAAATATTTCCTACAAATAAACTACCGAAAATCTAGAATTATCACAAAAACTGAAGAACAGCTAAAAAAAATTGGAAAACATATTACATTATATTCAGACTAATTCATTTATTTTAGAAGAAAGTATATACTTCAGAATTTGGTAAAAGACTAAAAATAGAATCGCACAAGTACTTTTTCATAAGGAAAATATTTACTAAGGGTAATTTGACAAGTGTTCTAAAAGCAAAGATGTTAGTCTTGTATATACTATAAGTACTAATGCTAGTCTTGTACATACTTGTAGATACTCCTATAAAACGCACAAACAAAGAAAGAATGGAAGAAATGGGATACAATTCAAATGAAACTTTTAAAAACTATGTTAGGGATCAAAAGAAGTAAAAAAATAAATACCCAAGATATCATATTCCATGCAAAAGTAAAAAGTTCAAGAAAGCCCCCCAAAAAATAAATATAGTTGGGCTGAACATATGATCAGATGATAGACTGTCATAAAGCACTTCTAAGTAGACTCCAATAGACCAAGTGAAAAGGAGATGAAGACTACAGGTAGTAATGAAATTACCCATAGGGTGGAAACAAACGGTATGAAATTTGAAAAGAAACAAGAAAACTGGTTTTATGTGAAATTTGAAAGAATTTTATTATAATATTTTGAAGTTTTGTTTTAATTTTTTTTCTGCTAATATGTTACTATAATAATTATATTTTTAGAGCAGAACTCCATTTTACCACCTCAGATAGAGGATCTTGTCATGAAAATTATATTACTATGACAATAAAGTTATGTGATTATTATTGTAATATTCACAGACAACTATAGGCTTTAAAGATTTGTAGACTAGTTGGTAATGAAAACTGCTGGTTGTGCACTAGCACACCGACTACCCTAAGGTAAAAGTGCTAGTAGCAGTCAATGTACCAAAACTTGACATCCACGAGGAAAAAAAGGAATATTAATATTTCAGGGCCTCCTAGACCTGTATTTAAAAATTTGTGATGTCTATATACCCTCCTCATACATTTGTCTGCTTTGATTTAGTCATTATGGGAACCGTAACCAAAATAATGGGTGGTAAATCAGGAAGATCCCTCATTGTATACTTAGTGTCCCATGAACAACCATCTATCAGTGTAAGAATGTTTGTCTTTTCTTCTTTAACTACTTCAATTTATCCCAACATTATTGTTTTATATTTTCTTGGAGTGTTATTAAATTATGTCTTGTCTATTTTTAACCTATATTATTAAAGGAAATTGCAAAATTTAATGGGTGTCAACTACTGCTGCATTATATTGGGACTTTCGCTAGTTGTTATCAGGCCTTTATTTGCAGAAAATCAAAGAGATTTTCAATTAATCAATTTCTTCCTAATGTTGCATTTATGCATCACTAATGTTTTTTATTGCCATAATATTATAGATTTTTTTTTATGTTTGCTTATATTTCTTTATAAAAAAAATTAAGTTAATTTATTAATAAGTTTAATTTAATGACCTGGATGTGAGCCAATTCGTCGTACTGGCAAGACTACTCTGGGCGGGACATGTCGCGCGGATGGATATGAATGCACCCCCAAAGAGAGCTATGAATGAGCCTGTGTTTGGAAATAGACGAGTGGGAAGACCATGTTTGCGCTGGCAGGACTGTGTGGCTGCTGATGCATGTAGACTACTTGGTGTCAGAAATTGGAAGGCTGCAGCAACTAACCGGGAGAACTGGAGATCCATGCTGGAGCAGACCAAGTCTCGAATAATTGGGATGTAGTGCCATTTAATATAATATTAATAAGTTATAGATAATTTTTGTTAATTTTAAAATGAAGAATATGAAATTTCAACACATTTTTTTCCATAATTGCATCCTTGTTCTTACCCCTATCAGCTACAGGAACAAATCAGTGTAAGCTACTGGAACAACAAAAATATTCTCTAAATTTACAATTTTATAAAATTTAGATGCACGTTTCATGGAATTTAGGTGTCATGGTAAGGTTGGAAATTGATTTATATGAGGAATCCAAGAAAAATACTCTTAACATCAATATTAAAGTTTTTACATCTAAACGTTCAAAGAAATTCTCTTAAACCTTCTGGCGCTTTTACACTAAAAACAAAGGAGAGTATGGCCTGTTCAATTTCCTAAGGTAGTATTTTGGGCTCTGATAGTATCCTAAAACCCATGGCTTCTATCATTGAATGACTATCCCTTTTGAATTTTAAGAGAATAAAAAAAGTAAAATGGTTCTAGTAAAAAGTTAAAATAAAAAAAAAGAGTAAATAGGATCGAGGTGGAGGAAAAACCAGGTCTCCAATGATGTTATTCCTAAGCAAAAAAGAACCAGTTAGCTCTAATACCACAAACATTACCCCATCTTTACCAGTACCAGTATATCTTAAGAGTAAACAGAAAAGCATAATACAAGACCAAGAAAGTAGAAGATTTCTTGGTTTGAAGTTATCTTGGGGGTAGGGAGGGAAAGAAAGACATGGAGGAGGTACTGCTGTTGTTAAAAAAAACCAAGCCATACAACCACAGAGACATGAGAGAGTTCCTGAAAACCTGAAGATGAGTTTTATGAAAGAGCCACAAAGTCTCTTCAGTACCAGAGCTTCATAATTATTTTTGCACTTGAGGCTACCACATTTATTCAGTTATCCTAAGCCAATGAAAAATAAAATATACTAATCGGTCTTTTCGAATGATTCATATACTCATATTATATTGGTTAGTGAACACATGGCAATATATATTGTAGATAATACTTTTTGAATATAGAACAAAACAATATTTATATTTCATATTGTAAAGTTTGTCTTATTGATGTTTTCACTTCTGTGATGTGGTCTTAAGCACACATCCTAGATTTTTCTTTTTGCAGGGGAATTCGAAACCCTTTCTAATTATCGTGGGTATAACTGACCACATAAACACACCTATAAATATATATATATATATATATATATATATATATATATATATATATATATATATATATATTTTGGAATAAAATTTAGTTTGCTTACGTTTGGAGCTCCATTGAAGAAATCTCCGTCATAAACGAGAGTTTTTAGTCCATTAGGCTTCGTTCTAGACAAAATTCCGTAACCGCTACAGATGTCAGCTTTGAACTCCCCTTCAAGAGTAATTCGAGTTACATTATTGACTTGTACTCCCACACCTTTAAATAAAAGAAAAATAAAGTTGATGCCACATTATATAAACTTTTACTTATCACTCTAAGTAGAAATTATTTTTGGTTCTACTCTATAATTGTGGCTCGACTTTGATTGTAGTCTACTTCTTTTCCTTCCTCCTTTATCCCTCTCAGCGTGAAGGTGTATTCAGCCATCAAAACCAGACATTCTGGTCTATCGGGAGTACCATCATCTCTTACACCGTCTAGCCTCTTGATCGCCCTTGCCTGGATATTCGTAAGATACTGGAAGTCTACTCTTTTACCTGTTGGTCGGACTTGATAGAAGTTTCTGGGCTCACTATATTCTTCCATTCTGCAGTCAGACATGACACATGAGCTGTCTTTTCTCGAATATTCGTACCAGTGGCTCGACATCTAATTCTGTCGTTCCGTACACAATATTGTCTGGTTTTTATCGCCACTCTTCGGAGATACCTCATTTCAGCATTTCATTATATTTTTATGTTCAAGTGTTACTCAGCTTTCACTACCGTAGGGCAAAGCTGGAAGATATACTGTTTTATATATGGAATTCCTGGAACGATTTCTTATAGACAACATTTTCACGGAATGATTTCACTGTATTTATATAACGATTTAGACTCCTGGAAGCTTCCAATGGTTTCTTTTGTGTTAAAATTGGGGCCTTAATTAGCTTTAATAACACTGCTGCTTTCACCTTTTGCTAGCTCAAAAAGGATAAACAATCAATTGGTCCTTTTATTTCGATATCGGACTTTACAAGACGGCTCGTTAAACTCCGTGTACTTTCGGCCATTCCTGGAATCTTGTACCATCCTTCAAAGTGAAGCGGCACTTGCAAAGTAGTACCGAATAATTTTTTAATGTAACGAATTAAATTATAATGAATTATCCCTCAAGAATAACTTTTATTTACAAAAAGTACGGAAAGAGAGCGGGGCTAACGTGTGTGCACAGCACCGCGCGTTGCCTAGCAACCTGATAACCAAATTTGGAGACTATAAAATTACGAGTTCAGATCTCGATGCCTGAGGGCATTTAAATTTAAAATTGAAGTTCCCCGCCCTTACCTCCTGGGCCGGGAAAACCTCCGTATAGCATAAAAGGCGAGGCAGAAGAGAAAAAAAAAATTATAAACAGTATTAAAGATAATGTTTAGGTCTTTTTACACGGGTGCTTCTAGGCCAGTTTCTGTATGTAATGAACTCAGTTTGTTATAGAAACTTAAATATGTAAATGGGTTTCATTATGTCGTGAAACCAAGTTGATACAACATGTTGATTTTTTTAAACTATACCAGCACTATTTGTGTCAGGAAACTTACCATTCATTATATTAAAAAAGTTCGGATCGGACCAATGAGCGAGTATTAAAATTGATTGAAGTTATTAAGGTCAGGCAATCTCATCATTATATTGTTTGAATAAAATTCTTTTATTGCCATTGAGGTAACCTATAACTTATTTGAATATTTAACATTATTTACTTGTGTAACTAGATAAAGTGAGGATTTATAAGCTTGCGTAAGCAAGTAGAAAAAAGAATAGCTAGTTGCAACAATAAGAGGGGTGATGAAAGTTGCATGATCAAAATTTTTGAGAGGACCACATATTGAGCATGGAACTCGGTTATATCTGTGATTGATATCATCTTTTCATTTGTTTTTTTTGGCTTTCCATGTGGTATCTTGTCTAATATTGAGGCATTCATTGTTTTGTAGAGACATTCAGATGGATTACCTTAAAATAAAAACAGAAATAATTATTATTTAGATACGACAAGGAAGAAAAAATATTGAGATCCTTCACTTGATCCAAAGGAATGAAAATGTTTTCTTTATAAGAAATGAATCATTTATTTTTATTAGGAACAGTCTTATATAGTGCGTTACACTGGGAAATAAAATATCAATATGTCCAAAATCAACTATTAGACCTTGAGATGGATTTTCTAAGAAAAAGCTTTAGCATCTGAAAGCTACAACATATACCAAACAGAACGATTAAAAGAATATAAGACAAGAAAAAAATATATAATACTGGAAGCAGAAGTCTTCAATAGCATGGCCTCGTAATGACGATCGGAGAGGACATATATGGCAAAAAAAAACTCATCGTGCACAAGTCCAATTATAGAAGAATGTGGAAAGAATATGTAAAATAGGATTGCGAAAGAAGAAATATATCAATAGGAGAGTATGGCGAGAAAAAATATCTCTGATTTGGAATACAATAATTAAAATTCAAAACCGAAATAATAAAGACAGGGAGATAGAAGAGATTGGGCGTAAAGCTAGAAGTATATACCCTGTGGTACAAACTACCCCCCCCCCCTTTTTTTCAAATTACTAATATCCTGAAACTTTGTGATAGCTTCATCACATCGTAACATACAACTCTTATATTTACGAAAACTCTTGGGATTGGGACATTTTAAATCTGGAGTTCAGTAGACTTTGTCTATTTAACTAGGTACTAAAACCTCGTATATACCCATTTGCTTTCCACTTAGATCGTAAGATAATTTGATCTCAAAATCGATAAAAAGGTGACCTACAAAAATATTGGGTATTTTGCTAACCTCGTTATTTTTACATTTTGTAGGTGTAGGTCACGCCAAATGGTTCAGTATTTTTGAAGGCCACCTTTTTTTTTTTTTATTTTATGCTCCTATTATCTTGCGATTCAATTGGAAAGCAAATGGTTATTTGCGAGTTTTTAGTACCTAATTAAATAGACAATGTTTGGCGATCTTTAGATTGAAAACGCCCCAACCCAATTCCAAGAGTTTTCGTAAATAAAATAGTTGTAGGTTACGATGAGATGAGTTATTACAATGTTCAGGCGCTGTACTAATTGATAAAAGGGTCTGACGACGACCTATATATATATCTATTTTTGAATGGCGCTACAGACTGTGTAGATCATGGCCGCACGATGGGTCTTCTTAGAGATTTCTATTGCTTCTTCTGGAAAGAAGCACAGTTATGCTGGAGGGGGTCACTCAACCTCACTCAAAATGCTATGAATAGTGCAGAGGCTTGCTACCGATATCCCTCACGCCGATCCCTTTGGCATCAATCTGGCAGTTTCCTCACTGATTTACACGATTTTAAAGACAATCACAAATCGGTTAAGATCTATCTATAATGATTGTTCAGAATCAACAGGACCTATTTTTTTCGTCGGGACTTTTACTGACACTCTGGAAAAAAAAAACCCTCGCGATTTCCGACTAAAGTACACGTAGAAGGGTCATAACTTTTACTCCCGATCAGTGTCGCATCACTGATCAGTTTACTCCAGAGGAATGACGGTCCTCACGTTCTTGGGAGAGGAAGAACCTGGGTAAGTATGGCTTGCTCTGGTTGACGATCTCCCATCCAAGTATTTACCACGCTCATTGCTGCGTGACTGTGATTACCTGTTCCATGCGCCTTACCCCTCTCGGTCATTCTGTAAATATTTATTTATAAAACTTATGATTGCATACCATCTCTCAAATTGTTCTTCCACCATCCTCTGTAAAGCCCTGTTTTGGTACTACAGAACCTCCTGTGTCCGTTTTTTAAGCTCTTTGCCTCTTTGATTTCTAAAAGCTTCGGTTTGGTATTGTAACATTTTTGGAGAGCTGTCTTTATGTAGTTTCTTGCATGATGACTGGGCGGATAGCGTACGTTTTCTGGAGGCATGCAAAGTTATTTACTTTCTATTGATTACTAGTCACTACACTATATACTAGTACAATAACTACACTAGACTACTGATGATGATTCTAATTAATCATATTTTAAATTATATTGTTCATAATTTATTAAAAAGAAACAAAATATCATATGATGTCGAATAAAGACTATTAATCTTCTTTACACAACGTACATAGAATTAATTTATTTATTGACGGTCACTTGTATTAATCTATATAAATAAAATAAAGATTTGTCAGCACATTGAATAGAATCAACCCGTTTTATGATACCTTTTCGTTTCATACATTGCAGATACCAAATCCACATTTTAAAAAATTTTTGTCTGTCTGTATGTCCGCATTGCAACGAAATTTTGTCAGAGGTAAGCTCAGCAATGGCTTATTGTAAAGGGGACCCTACACGGTCGATCGGAATTGCACTAATGACGTTCCGAATTGTCGTGTAAGGTAGTGAATGAAGTACTGATGGTGGTGCGCTGCGGATTTCCGAACATCCGGAAATCAAAGGTTCATTCACGAGAAGTGGAGGGGGGACAGAGGAAAAGCAGTGGGGAGACTAACCATACTGCTGGATAGGTTAGATTACCTAGGCCTCACAACCTTTATAAATTTCTGATTTTCATTATATGTAAATAGTTAAATAATTTTTCATATCTCTTGTTTATAATTTTAAACCATCTTCAACTATTTCTTTTAAATAGTCAAGTGGGCAACAAATTAAAAAAAAAATGAGGAAACTTCAGAATTTACTTGAAAGGAAAAAAAAAACTTTAACGTTGTGTATATTTATCAGTTCTTTTCCCATTTTCCTCAACAAATTTATTATTTTCGCAATACCTTTCCTTAATTTTTGTCAAAACGATTTTCTATGAGACTAACCTAACTACTAGATAGGTTAGTTTACCTAGGTCTCGTTATTAAGTAAATAATTTCATAAAAGTAAATAGTTGTTTATATCCCTAGTATATATTATTATTAACCATTTTCAACTATTTTTTCTTTAAATAGTCAAGTAGGCAATAAATTGGAGAGAAAAAAAGTGGAAACTTCACAATTTACTTATAGAAAAAAAATCTTTATCTGTTGTGTTTATTTGCCATTAATTTTTCCATTTTTCATAACAAATTGATTATTTTCGCAATACTTTTCATAGATTTTTGTATGTAGTTGACTTATATTTTGGACTAACTTTGGTCTAAACGATTTTCAGGCACTAGGAAGTAATTATTATATCTCCGTTTTTCTCTTGATGCCCAATATTATAAATGACAATGTCCAAATAAGCATATCTATGCTGCTTCTTTGTTTACAACTGCGCTAAATTGGTCAGCAACGATCTAACCTAAATCAGCAACGATAAGTAATGATCAGTAATGATTGAACGTGTAAGGCTCTTCATGATCAAAGCGATAGCGGGCAATCTTGGAACTTCTTGTGACGTTCATTCATGAATTACCGTGTAGGGTCTGCTTATAATTTTGAAATTTTAACATTATATTAAAATTTGCTTGACTTAAAACATAGGCTTTAAATGAAAACAATATATTGAGTATAACCGAAGTTATGAATTCTTGAATAATTTGTCTAGAGATCTCGGTTAATGTTGATAATAAATATTAATAATAAACATATGTTTATAGGTTAAAGATCATCTATATAAATAAAATAAAGGTTTTATTTGTAAATTGAATAGAATCAACCCGCTTCATGATATCTTTCCGTTTTATACATTACTAACACTAAATCCACTTTTATAAAAAATTTTTGGTCTGTCTGAATGTCCGCATTGTCCAACAAAATTTTGTCAGGAGTAAGTTCGGCAATGGCTAATGGTAGACTTTTGAAATTTTGATATTACCTTTAAGTTTACTTGACTTAAAATATAGACTTTAAATGAAAACAAAATATTGAGTAGAACCAAAGTTATGAATTATTGAGTAATTTGTTTAGAGATCCCGGTTAGACAGCTACTTCGATTTAAGTCCCAACCTACTCTATCGGAAGCCACATTTAAAAATTGCACTACTTAACTGATGGAAAAAATTATCACAACTCAACGGGAAAAATCCGGAATACCGAACATTTGTAACGCGTTGTCGCTTAAAACACTCATTTTTCAACTTTGTTCGATCTTCCTTTTGAAGGTGTCATTCGATTCAACTTCTCGAGACTAACAAATGTTGTCGTATACATTGTTAGGATTAACCAAATGGATTAGCTGGAAATCGGAAGAAAAAATTCTAAAAATTAAAATCACCTTTTCTTCCTCACCCAATGTTATGAAATTAACCTCTTTCTCCCTCCATAATATAATATCCATCTCAAAAAAGATTCTCAAATTTTAACTAAACACCCATCAACGATGGGTACATCAGCTAGTAGATAAATAAATTAACTATATGTTCGTTTTATGAACGGAATTAAATCTAAAATGGGCTATAATGAGTTATCGTCCCAGGCAAATTTAGAAGCTACAGAATATAGAAGACTAGGTCCACTTGACATGAGAATCAAAATATAAATATGAGACTGTATAAGTAATTAATGGAACTGACTGTACAAGCAGTGCCGGCCTTAGACATTCGACGCCTCCGGGCAATGGCGACATCTCCCTTCCCATCTCATAACAAATTTAATTTATTTCTTAAGCTCTTTTATATAATATTGAATTTTAAGCAACAAGTGGTGAGCGCCCTGAAGATCGGCCGACGTCCCTAACTGGTGGCTCTCCAGGTTGATCCCAGAACCTCTCAACCTCTCAACCTGGCAACCTCTCTCTATGGAAGCTCCTACCTCGTAGTAATTCCCTCTAATCTTCACACTGCTGCCCGAGAGGTAACTTCTTACTAAAATGTATATGTTACTGAGAGCATCGTACCTGTGTAGCTGCTGTAGCACATGAGGCCACCATACACTGTCGAAGGCGGACGATATGTCGAAAAGGAGCAACATGACATACCGCTCGGCTCTCTCCTCAACATCTCTGCGCACTCTCAGCAGGGCATCAGTGGTTCCTCGGCCTCTGGTTGATCCATACTGCCGTGGATGACTTGCTCTAGCGAAAACATGTCGTAAACTTCATCATGAGGTTATCCAGAACCTTGCTAATAGTTGTTTGTCCCTATTCCCTCCCTTGTAGAGGAGTCTGAAATCAGCTATCTTCCATCTTCTTGGAAAGTATCCCATACCCAAACATTTATTGAAAATTTTCAACAGACTCTTCAATATACATGATACTGTTCCTCAAGATTGCTGAATCTATTGCATCAAGTCCTGGAGGAGGATTAGTTTTCTGCTTATCTACGGCAATACGAAAATCGTGAATGTCCCACGGTGGGCACAAATCTGAACCAGGTGGATATACCGTGGCGCGTCTCACAAAATCAGCATTTTAGCTGTCCTGGGTCGGATCATCTTTGGGGTATATTGCTTAAATGAAAACATTGGCAGTTTCTCCCAGGGTGGTTGCCTGAGTATTATGATACCGCAAGGCTGCAATTGTCTGCAGCGCGGACAACTTACTCACTGCCGCGCTTTAAGTAATAGCTCATGGATTCTTCAAAGAATCTTCAATAATGTAATCGTCCCAAGACTTCTGCTTTTGTGAGCGAACTTCGTTTCGGTATATCCTGGCTTTTGACTTGTACTCATTGCGAAGTAGAGTGCGTCTCTCGTCGCATCTGCACATCTGATATGACCGCCGGGCGTTGTAGAGATCTCTTTTTAGAACAGTTAAGGCTGGCGTCCACAAGGGGACATGTCGAACCCTTGCCTTTCGGTGCTTGCGGGAGTTTTAGGCAGCATCAAGGAATGTTGTTGGTAATCCTGGACACCTTGTAGTCCAGATTGTCGACTGCTGCTTTCCAGTCCTTGTCTGCAATCACTCCCTCCAGGCAGGACCTGAAGATACTCCAGTCATTTATTTTGATGACGAAGCCCTTATCAGTGCCGTGGGAACACCCTGGCTCATTTACCAGGCCGATTGCTATCGAAATGTGATTGAAACTCGTTTCATATCAATCAGTAATATATCTCGTAAGCACAGGTGTGGCGATCGTGACGTCAATCCAACTCTGCACCATGCCTCCAGAGATGGCAGAGGGTTCGTTCATCACGACAAGATGATTTCTGGTTATGAAATCTTCCATTTTAGCGCCTCGCCTGTCAGTAATATTAGACCCTCCCCTCCCCCCCCCGACAGTGTTCCAGGAGTTGGTATCTGAGCACATGATCACATTCCTCATCTTTCTGATGATCGCCTCCCCAACGGACATGCTTTCTTCTACACCACTAATCATATGGTGCCAGGTATATAGATATATAGATAGTTTATTTATTTGTCTAAGGAAATTCCTGTACAAATAAATATAATGGTATAATTAACAATGTTAGATCTTGAGTCTAGTACTGCATTCAAACATAACATTAACAATGTCCACAGCATTAAGTATGACTAATATAATAACAGATTAGTAAACGATATATATATATATATATATATATATATATATATATATATATATATATATATATATATATATATATATATATATATATATATATATATACATAACAATTAGTAAAACATTTTTTTTTATTTTTTTTTTTTTTAAATATTCGAGAGGTATAAGACAAATGACAATATAAATAAGAATTAATATATGTTATATGATTAACTTTACCACTTAACAGTTCAATGAACAGCCCTGTATGAAATAATACAGTTGGTTTATTTTTTTCGTAGTGTCTATTTTCAGTATCTCCTCCACACTAGCATCTTCTCTGGATTCAGTGATAAATGCCTTCAAGTACTTATTTCTCGGCTCGTTGAACTTGATACATTGGATCAGAAAATGAGTTACCGGTTCAGTTACAAGGTAGTTGCATGCACCACATACCTCACTATATTTAATAGTCAAAGTAGCATCTTTTAAGTATATTTTCATAAAATCTTTACTTGCTACTCTGAGACGACTAACGGCTCTTAATTTGTTTAAATTCAGAGCCCTGAACTGAAGATAATCCTCTGGTTTGGTAACATTAAAGGAGCAGATTTTTCTATATCTTGGGTTTGATTTAGAGTTTAACACTCTGTCGATGTCCTTGGATGCGTGATGGTTTCTTATTTTTTCCATGATTTCATCTTTGAACCTCATCAGACCTTGAGAGAAAACACAAGAAAACAGCCCCTGACATCCAAGTTCCGCCACAATCATCTTTACTTGGGTAACCCAGTTATAAGTTGGATCAGGTTTTCCAATGGATGAGTCTATAGCTCTAAGCCTATTAAAGCATTGTTTAGGTAGTCTTTCGTCACTCATTAAGCTTAGCTTTGTCCAATAGTTGATCACTTTTTTCAACACTTCAACACTTAATGGAGATCTCCCACTTTCAATATAGATATGCAATACCAATGTGAAGGAAATCTTGCCCCTCTTAACATAGCAAGATGTATAATCCGCCATGGTGTGTTGACTTAGATGCATCACGTCAAGGTTATGATTATTAATCACTATTTCAGCCATGGGCCTCCTCTCTCCACAGCTCAGTAACTCATGACGTGAGACCGAACCCCGTAATTCTGTTCCCACAGTAGCTAGGTTCCTGGACAGCCATGACATCGCAGCGTTGTGCGCTATCCCGAAGATCATCAGCCACAATATACCAGCGGCCCATATTCATCATTCATTTTCGTTTTTAATAATTTAAGCTCAAATCTTTTCAAAACATTCACAAAATATCACTGACTCATTTGAACCATTTAATTAAATAATCGGTCAAGTCGTTCACTCAATAATTCGTTACATACCGTTTAACGCACAGATTACGAACATTTTATAAAATGATTTGTCAATTTGATGATTAGGGCTCAAATTGGTTCAAAACACTCCCGCGATTTCCATAAAAACTTAGACCACCAAACTTAAATACTGATTCAGCAGTTTGCTCCAAAAATCAGTTCATAGCTTTCAGCGAATCGATTAAATAAGGTGTCAGAATTTTTAATTTAAATTGTTGATAACACTCACGGGATCTTACCAAATAACTGAAGTCATCAAATTAGGAAGCGATCCAGCAGTTTATTCAAAGAATCGTTACATACCGTTTAATGAATTGATTAAACACATTTTATTCAGTCTTTATAGCTCAAATTATTTCAAAACACCCTCGGTGATCTCTCCTCAAAGTTTGAGCCATCGAAAAATCGATCCAGCTTAAAAAATCGTTACATAGCTTTTAGCGGACAATCCATACACAACCCTCGCGTCGTTTCGCTTAGTCGGGTAAGAATATGTTAATTCAATGATTTAATGTCCACTCCCTCTTTGTAGATTTGGTTAAAAAGTTACTGTATCATCCCAGACATACACTTCCTTTGAACACGTAATTTAAATTTCATAAGACTTTTTTTTATCTAGGCCCTTTACACACCCAAAAACACATAAACATAACTCATTTAACTTGTTTTTTAGATTCAGGGGGCCTCAAACATTTATTTCCGTTGAATACTAGGGTTAGAATTTATACAAGAGCACAGTACAACCCTTCACTATTTATATATTTCACATATATAAAATAAAAATGTATATTCGATTGAATGTTTTTTTTTTCTGTTATTATTGAGCATTAAATAAAATCGATTTTATCTGGATCCAGATAATATCGATACGAAGGTTACAGGAAGTTCGTGTCCTATCTTGATCTGAATCCGGTAGGTTCAGTTGACAAGGTTGCTTAGTGATGAAGGGAATGCTCGATTCTCGCTACAAAGTAAGTTTCAGCGAAATAATTAATTACATATATTTGTTCTGTTCGATTTTCGTAATTAAAAAGTCCAAATATAAATATATTATATAAATAGTAGATGTAGTTACAATTATATTACAAATTAGTTATTTCAGTAACAGTTATGGTAACTGTAGTAACGATTATTAATTGTTTCAATCTATTGGGAAATTTAAGAATAGATTGTAACCCATTTCTCTAATGCATTCGACGTAAAACTAGGATCAACAAAACATGTTTATTCATATACAGAGTGTTTCAGGGTTAAGTGGCCAAACTGCAAAAATCCAAATACAATCCATAATCAACCATTGATATAATAAATAGGATTTTAGTTATTTTAATGGTATTAATGTTTTGTTAGTTCTAAGCTTTAAGTTTAGTTCGGTTAAAAATTTACTTCAAAAATTTTATAATAGCCCAACATTACCAGAAAATAATGTCTATTCAAAGTATAGCGTTAAGTGAAAGTTGTGTGTTGTACGCACCAGATTTTTTTCTTACACCTCTTGACTTCGACTTTCTCCATGAGACTTCATTTTGGGATTATTATAGGCGATAGCAGTGACCATTTGGTTCTCTTTTTCAAGATATCCAGAGAGCACGTGATTTACTTGTAGGACGCGTCAACCCCTCTTCATCAGGAACTTTCCTGAAGGATGGATTTCAATATTTTGCCGCAATCCTCTCCCAGTGTTTGATGGAAAAGAGGATTATCATCCCTATACCGAACCCCCAACCTAGAGAACTAGAGGTGCTATAGTGTAAGGCTCAGGGGTCGCTCACCTTGTATATCTGGGTGGGGATATTATCGTCTCAACCCACGCCGTAGTGGTCTAATCATAGAGCCTGTACTTTTTTATTTTATTTGTTATCTTCAATCGTAGTACATAATAATGTCTAATTTTATATTATTTAATTAAGAATAAACTTTTCCATATATATAAAATTTATTGAAATTTAATATATATTCGCCCATCGCCCCCTCCTCCACCTTCCGCCCCCTGACCTGATTGGAAAATCTGCGCCTTTTCTAGCTATACTTTTTTAGTGGGATATTGTTCTTTAAATTCCTTAATTTTTTTTTTACATAAATGTTTAAGGATAGTTGGAAGGAGCGGTGTTGTAAGGAAGTTGGAGAGACTGATGAATCTAGGACTGAAGGATTAGCAGCTCTAAGAAGGCATCTCAGTGGTAAATAGATATAGAGTTAAAATTAAACATGTAATAATAATTATACATATATTCCATAATTGTAATATTCTTTTTACAATAGGAAATCCAGAGATTCACACAGTCCAGGCTGATGAATTTCTCTTGAGATTTCTCAGAGCAAGGAAATTCGATGTAGAAAAATCCTTCAAGCTGGTAAGAAGATATTCCATAACATTTTTAACGAGAATTATTTTATAGAATTTCTGATATATATATATATATATATATATATATATATATATATATATATATATATATATATATATATATATATATATATATATATATATATATATATATATGTATATATATATATATTGCAATAAAGATAGCCGACTTATCGATTGGCTTGAGAGAAATTATTTGATAAAAAATATTTTATTCATGTCGGGAAAGTTTGCTTCCTCGTGGTCACAATGTCAAAGGGAGCTCTGACAGTTCGTAATTAACTTTTAATTAGTGTAGCAATGGAGGTGGCTCGCTTTAGTCGACAACTTCTAATGATAAAGGAAAATTTTATAATTATTTTCGTTCTCTACCTGAAGATAAATTCACTTTTTTAATTTTTACACCATTAAAATATTCAACAAAACTCTCTCTATCTCTTTTTTTTTTCTTCTTTTCCCCTACTGTACCTTAGGACAACCCTATACCAGCAGTAGTGTTGCCCAAGACCGAGACGAGTCTTAGTCTTGCAGACTCAGTCTTGGTTTTGCACAAGACTCTCGTAACAGTATTGCAGTTACCTATTAGCTTATTACTTTTTTTTTTTTTTTTTTTTTTAATCTATTTATTGAATAATAATACATGCAGCCACTGCTGGAGGGCTATAAGCATTAGGGCTAAAAGTTCTCATTCATACAATATATACAAATAATAAAGAAATAAATATAAATATAAGAAGTAAATAAATAATACTGATGAAGAAGATAAATAAAAAGAAAAGAAAAAATAATAATAATAAACAAATAAAATAAAATAAAAACTTCTAAACACAATCATAACTATATACAATATATACATTCGCCCAAGAATCTCCGAACCAGGCTTTTTCCCCCACACGTGGAAGGCAAAGCAAGACTCCGGAAGATCCCAGCGCCACTTTTCCAGCCGCATCACTAGTATTAGAAGCCAGTGGAGACTGGAAGAGGGCACTAGAGCCACAGACGCTCAGGACATGAGTGGAGAAGCTGGCCATTGCCAGGACTCCAAAGGCATATTTACAAAAGATCTCGAGGCCACTGCCGTTTCAACCTTCGAGGGGGATGGTATGGATGCTCGGAGCTGGATAGGGATTGGGCTAGAGGATTGGGATGATGTATGAGGTTCTGGTGAAAGTTGGAGAATCTGGATGGGATGATGTCATGGACATATGGGATGTTAAGGTCATGGTGTAGGGTCTTGTTCGTGACATAATATGGAGCATTGACTATTGTTCGAAGGACTTTAGACTGGAAGGATTGGATGCGTTTGATATTCGATGATTTAGTTGTCCCCCACAGCTCAAGTCCGTAGGTCCAGATAGGTTTCAGTATGGTCTTGTAGATTAATAATTTGTTTTCTGTTGAGAGATGAGATGTTCTGTTTAGTAGTCTATATAGCTGACCAAATCGTCGGTTAAGCTCTTGTCTTTTAAGTCTCGTATGTGGGTTCCAAGTCAGTCTTTTGTCCAGAAGGAAGCCAAGGTATCGGACTGTGTCTGAGTAGGGAAGAGGAATTGAATTAAAAAGGATTGGAGGACAGGATCTGCGTCGAAGAGTGAAAGTTACATGTTTACATTTTGATTCATTAATTTTGATGCGCCAGTTGTTGCACCACTGCTCAATGAAGGAGAGGTGTCTTTGCAGGTTCCGGGACGCAATTAGAGGATCCGAGTGGGAGGATAGGATGGCAGTATCATCAGCAAATGTTGCTAGGAAGGTATCAGGACTTGAAGGGATGTCAGCGGTAAAAAGGATGTAGAGAACTGGGCCCAAGACACTGCCTTGTGGGACACCAGCCTCAATTGGATAATGTTTGGAGAGTTCAGTGCCGCAGCGGACTTGAAAGGAGCGATTTGAAAGGTAGGATTTGAGGACTAGATACAAGGGTTGAGGTAAATGGGTTTTGAGCTTGAAAAGCAAGCCATCGTGCCACACCCGGTCGAAAGCTTGAGCTACGTCCAGAAAGGCACCAGTGCAATATTGCTTGTTTTCAAGTGCAGAGGATATGTGGTCCACAACGCGAAGGCCTTGTTGGACAGTGGAGTGTCTTGAGCGGAATCCAAACTGATGGGAAGGGATATTGTGGGATTCCAGTATGGGTAGGATGCGTTTGAGAAGGATTTTCTCAAAGATTTTGGAAAGGATCGGAAGTAAGCTTATCGGTCTATAGGATGATGTACAATTAACAGGTTTACCTGGTTTAGGAAAGAGGATAATTATGGAGTGTTTCCACACCAGAGGAAAGTGGGTTGTGCGGAGGATACAGTTGAATAGGTATGTAAGGAATATAATTGCTTTTTTGGGAAGTTGTCTGAGGATCTGGGAAGTAAGGAGATCGTGTCCTGGAGATTTGCGAGGTTTTAGGTTCTTTAAAAGGAATTTGACCTCAGAGGGGTTGACGGCTTTAGGAGGTAAGGAGAGAGGAATCGGTGAAGAGAGGAATTCTTTAACTTCAGCAGTATGGGAGGGATGGAGTTCAGGATGAGGAGTGAATGTGTACGATAGATGTTTAGCAAACTCTTCTGCTCTATTCTCATCTGACGAAGCCCAGGAACCATCATCACGGCGGAGGGGGTGGGAAATGGATTGGAATTTAAGGATTTTTTTAGTTACATTCCAGAGGGAGTTATCACTTGCAGATAGTGAGGAAAGATAGGAATTATAGGATTGGGATCTAAACGTAGCCAGTTTTTGTTTTACCTGCTTGGAATAATAGTTATATGATTTCCGATCATCAGGATGCCTGGTTCTTTGCCAGATGGTCCTAGAGCATCGTTTTCTATTAATAAGGTCCAGTAGGTCTTGGGGTAGAGGATTTATTTTGCGGTATTTTTTAGAAGGATAAGGTGAAGATGCAGTCCAAACTGCTTGTTGGATCAAGGTAGTCATGGAATATACTGCTTCATCTAGGTCTGCGGGTGTTTTTAAGGAAACTCTGAGGTCAATATTATCATCCAATATTTGACGGAAGAGGTTCCAATTAACTGGCCCCCTGATAAATGAAGGTGGAGGTGGTTTGGGAATTGGTGATGTGGAGACCGTTAGGATTAGGGGACTATGGTCTGAGGAAAGATCATCAAGTCTTGAGATGCAATAATGAAGGGACCCTAGACCTTTGTGGATGAAAAAATCTAGGAGATCGGGATTGCGGTTAGGATCTGTTGGCCAGTATGTGGGAGAATTGGGTGAGAGGATGTTGCTGTGATGGGAATTAAGTGCAGATAGCAATGTTCGTCCTCGGGAATTTGTGGTTCTGGCTCCCCATTGCTGGTGTTTAGCATTTAAGTCTGCACCTAGAAGGAAGTGGTGTCCTAAGGAGTTAAGGAAGGAAGTTAATTGGGATTCTGAGATGGGTATTTTAGGCGGGGAGTATGCTGCGACTACTGCTATTGGGTAAAGGGAAGTTTGGATTATCACGGCAGTGGATTGTAGGAAATTATGGGTTAGCAAAGGGAATAGATGATGGGAAAGGGATTGATGGATAATTATGGCAGTGCCAGCATGTGCTGTTCCATCAGGATGGTCGGTTCGATAGATATGATAGTTGGGGATGTTAAGTGGTCGTTTGTTGGTAAGTCGAGTTTCAGTTATTAATGCTATATCAATGTTTTTGTCCTGTAATAAGATTGTTAGTTCGTTGACGTGATTTCGAATACCATTCGCATTCCAAAGGAGAACGGAGAGGGATTTGATTGGGGGCATTTAAGGATTTCTCGACAGTGGGATGAGGTTGGATACAACATTGGTAAGCAAGGAAATGAGAGGAGTGATGAGTGACCTGAATTCAGAGAGGAAAGAAGTCAATAGGCTTGTGAGGTCAGTGGCATTGGGAGGAGGAGGAATGAATGTCTGGTTATTAGGCCTAGGTTCAGAGATGGGATAAGGGTCTTGTGGTTGAGATGTGAATACTCGAGGTTGAGGTTCTTGTGGCAGGGCCTGAGTTTGTGTGGGTGCAGTGTCTCCTTTGAACATCTGAGCATAGGACACTCTTGTATTTACAGTTCTAGAGGGTTGTCTTGGTGGCCTGGATGGCCGTTCTTCTCTTGGAGCTGCATAAATTCTTGCTTTCAGTTCCTTATATGTTTGGCAACCCTTGTAGTTCGCTGGGTGCCCTTGGTGGCATAAAGCGCATACTGCTGGTGTTCTTCTGGACTTCTGGCAGTCCTCAGTTTTATGTTGATCACCGCACCTGACACATCTAGGAATGTGGTGGCAATAGCGTTTCGTATGACCATAAGCCTGGCAGTTATGGCATTGTACAATGTCGCGCTTAGTGTAGGGCTTTTCTACAACAACGCTAGTGTAATAAAGGCGTGTGACCTTGTAGATTTCTTCGACCTGGGGCGTTCGGTCAAGGTCAACGAAGAATAGTGGGAGCGGTATTTTATTTTTTGTACCAGGCTGTTCTCTATCTTCCTTGAATATATTCACTATTTGTCGAACACGGAACCCCATCTCAGTTAGTTCTTCTTTAATGGCATCCAGCGGTGTTGATGGGTGTAATCTCCTGATCACCACCCTGAGCGCTCTCTCTTGGCGCAGTTGATATGTGTGATAATCCGCCTTAGTGTCAGATAAATACTTGACAATTTTTCTGTACGTATCTGGGGTGTCAGGCATTAATTTCGTGTCATTAGTGCGGCTTTGGCATACGTATTTACCTGAGCCCACTGTATTATTTAATTGTTGACACATTAATTGGAAATTTTTTATATTTCTAACGAATATTGGTGGAGGTTTAGGTTCACTAGGGATGGATACTGCTTCCATTTGTTCATTCTGTGTGTTTGACAGCACTTGGAATGGATTAGCTGTAAAAAAAGGCGATTCTTCTAGCGTACCTTGTATTGGTATAGCTTGTGTTGACATATTTTGTGATGTGCCAGGTTGATTTTCAACTTCGTCAACTGAGCTCTCTGGTGTAGCTGGCGGGGTATTTTTTTTAGAGCG